TCTAATTGGTGGATACTGTAAGATTGGCCTTTTTAATCGTTTAGTAGCCTTCCACAAAGAGTAATCAGTAGCGCTATCATTTGATAGTTCACTTAGGTAAATGTTAACCGATTCGTTTTTAATTTTTTGTATTTCTCTTTTTAATTTTTGTGTGGCATTATTTAATCTAGTTTTATCAACTGGTGCTCTAGACTGATGCCACTTGCGTCTTAGTTTTCTTTTTTCGGTTATCATTTCTCTGATTTCTTTCGGGTAGTTATTACCTTTTATTCTTTCGACACTGTTCGTGCTGTTGTTCCAAGCAGCTTGTTGTATATTTTTATTGAGTAATTCTACTTCTGCTTCTAGTTGATCAATGGTTCTTAATGGCACTGAGAGGTTAATCTTCTCTTCAAGGTCTATCTGGAAACTTTTCCAATCAGTATTTTTGTTAACAAGTCTAGGGGGGCTTTCTTTTTTGATAACAGTGTCACTGAGTGTGAGAATAATTGGAGAATGGTCCGAGGTCATATCCAATGACTCTTCTATCTCTATGTAATTTGTAGAAATATTTCTAACTACAAAGAAGTCGATAAGGTCTGGAATTTTATTTGTGTCAGTAGGCCAGTATGTTGGTTTTCCCGTTGATACTGCGTCGCATTTTATGTATTTCATTGCTTCTAAAAGTTCTTTCCCTTTGGTTGTAGTCAGTCGTGACCCCCAATGCGTATGTTTTGCATTGAAGTCTCCTCCAAGGATAAATCTATGTCCTTGACTGGTCAGGAAATCTACGTATTGATTTTTCTTGATGGTATGTCTTGGCGGACTGTAAACTGCTGTGACGATTACCTCATAATTTTTACATTTAATTTTTACTGATGTGGCCTGAAATTCTTTTGTTCTGTACCCAATTTCCTGATAGTGCATAATATTTTCCTTGATTATTACTGCACTACCTCCTTTGGCTGCATTATCAGGGTGAGTAGTATGATAAGTTTTGTAACCCCTAAATCTAATATATGACTCATTCGTAAAATGGGTTTCAGAAATGAGGCATATGTCTATTTTTTCTATATCTAGTATCGCTTGTAGTTCTTGCTGATGTTTCAAGATCCCATTTGCATTCCATTCTAGTATTCGTAAATTACCCGCCATTACCAAGTCTTTTAGGTATAGCTCCTTTGGTGCTATATTCTATTCTGGTTATACGCTCGTCTAGGTTAGTTAATCTCTCTAATATTTTTTGTAGTGTTTGTTCTATTTTCAGATCTTTTTGACTACTATAGTTTTCTTCGTTACTTTTACCAGCTGCTACCATACTATAAGTTCTTGTTTTGTTTTCTTCTTGTTTTAGATTTTCTACAGGATTAGGATGCATTTTTTGAGGTTGTCTGGGTAAGGTCTGTTTCTTGTTATGTTTATCTTTTATTTTTTGTATTTCCTTTGCCACGATACATCCTCTATAGTTAGCCGGATGCCCTTCTCCACAGTGGACACATTTAGGTTTTGCGTCCTTGGGTTTCTCACATTTGGCTGTTAGGTGTTTTCCTGTGCAGCGGACACATCTCGGTTCTTTCGAACAGTAACCTTGTGTGTGTCCATATGCCTGACATCTCTTACATTGAGGTACCAATTTTGATTTTCTGAGCGGAAGTATTTGTACTTTTACGTTCATGATATCTGAGATCTCATAGATTCTATTGATATTTTCGTCATTTCTGAATACCAGCATAAACATATTTAGTGGTTGCTTTGTTTTGTATTTTAATTTTGGTATGACATCTATTATCTTGAATCCTTTATTACTTAAATCGTTCATGATCGAATCCTTACTGGCTGAATGATGTAACTTATTGACCATAACTTTAATGGGTCGGCTTTGATTATTTTCATATGTATGCCATGGATAATTTACTTCAGTCAATTTTTTCGTTAATTTTCTGAAGTCTTCTTCACTATCGACATTAATTTTAGCGCTCTTGTCTCCAAGTACTTTTATCTGGAATTTAGTAGTATGTAGTCTGACTAATTCATGAAATTGGCTAAATTCGGCAATACTCTCCACAATTATTGGAGGTGGGATTTGTGTTTTTCTGGTTTTTTCTTCTCTTTGTTGGATATATGACTCTTTTTGTGGTGGGGTCAATGATGTATCCATTTTACGTTTTTTGAAGTTTTTGACACGTATCCACTCTGTCTCCTTAGCTAATTCCTCATCGTCAGTATGAAACTCCTCATTCTTAGGTTCTTTCTCTTTGGACAAGTTTTTCTCTAGATCTGCAAATTTTAATTGCAAGCTTTCATTTAATTTTTGTAGGTTGTCTAACTGGAGTTGGAGCTGATTTATCCTATCCGTAGCGTAAATCTTTTCCATTTCCGTCTGTTTCCATGCCGTGTACAGCATCTGTTCATTCTGGGACCTTGCATAATTTTCCTGAAAGAGTGCACTATTTTGTTATATTAACAGTACCTCGTTAGGTGTTTGCGGACCCGCATTTTGTTGGATCATTTTAACGAGAACCAACAATCCTGGCAGTCACTAGGTGCCCTTCATTATTTCTAACCAAGCGCCCGGACTATAAACAATTCAAAAGTAATTTGGATTATCTTACCAGTTTTTGTCACTTAACTATTTTCGACTTAATTATCAAATGATAATTAGCAAACACGGAAACACACAACCTACCGAGTACGCTGACATGACAACCACTAGACATATTTTATTATATACGCGTAGAAATCATATTTAAAAATTTCTATTAATGTTAACTTGAAGAAATACACAATAATATGTTTCATTTAATTTGTATAAATGCATTATAAAGCGTTATTATCAAGAACATTTGTTCGGAACACACTGTAACTATAATCGAACGAAGGTAAAATTTTGGCATAAATTGGTAACATTTATTTGACAGTTGCGGTGTTGACACTTTTTGTACTTCATTATTTTGAATTTTAAAGTGAATATCTCTTGTTTTATATTTTTAACTATCTAATAAAATCTGTTCTTTTTAGAACAAAATTAGTGTGTTTTATTTCAAAAATGTCACGTAAGAATTTAAATAGTCGTTGTAAAGAGATGGTAATACTTTTGCAATAATTATGTAATTTATTTGATTTAAAATGGAGTCAGGATTTTTTTATATTTTGGCAACTATGTCAACTTCGATCTCTGACGTAGATAATGACGTAAGTCGTTATCTAAATTAGATGAAGTATATACGTGTTGTATATTACGTCCGAGGTCATGCGACGCCTCTTTTGAAAGGTCTCCTTATCGCCTTTGCAACGATGTAATCATTTGAATATTAATTTCTACAGGGTTCACCAAAATTGTGAACTTTGTTAAGTAACATGGAATTACAATAAATATTTATTCAATAAACTAAAATTCACTCAGAAACGCTACTGGGAATAAAACAAGATAGTATTTTTTACTAGTTCAAAAAAATACATTGATAACAAACAACGCTACATTATAATCTGAAATTAATTATTGTATAAGTATCCCAAGTTACTTTTCAAATTTTTACTCTTCGAGTTTTTTGCCAACAATAATAAAGGCATTTGCGAAAATGAAATTAACAGAAACAGAACTAATAGAGATTTTAATCATGATTACTTATGGAAATAGAGTGAGGACTCAAGCAGAAGTTTAGCAGACTCAATGCTAAATACCCCAATCGAAAACCAGTTACTCAATCAACAGTAAGCAAAATTTAAAAAAAAATAGAGAAACGGTCCAGGCTAAACATCTTCCCAGAAGTGGTAAAAATTAATATCCGAAGCCAAGAAACTGGACGTTGTACTGGCGTTTCAAGAAAATCCCCATACCAGTTCTAGACAGGTCGCACTAGATAATAATGTCCACCAATCAACTGTTGTAAGAGTGCTAAAAAAGGAGAAGTGGCATACATACAAAGTACATCTGGTCCAGGAGCTATTAGAAGATGACTCGATAGAAGAATCGTATTCTGCAACACCGTTATGAAAAAATGTAACAGAGATCAGGGTTTCATACAAAAGCTACTTTTTTCTGAAAGCGTCTATTTTTGCTGAATAGCCACGTAAATCGCCAGACATATCGATACTGCGCAAGTGAAAATCCACATTGGATGGAAGATTATAAGACACTATATCCCGACAAGGTGAATGTTTGGGCCGGCATTATAAACAATTAAATTGGAGGGTCATATTTTGTTGATCAAAACTTAACTGCTTCTCGTTATCTAGAATTTCTTCAGGATTATCTGTTGCCACAGCTGTATCAGCTATTTCCAAATATAAATAATTTGTGGTACCAATATGATGAGGATCCCCTACACTACGGCGTTGAGGTACGAAATTACCTTGATAACGTTTTCCCAAGTAGGTGGATCGGTAGAAGGGGGCCCATCAAATGGCCAGCAAGGTCTCCAAATTTGACTTCGTTAGACTTTTTTTTTTGTTGGATATTTAAAGAGCAGAGTGTATAAAAATCGACCGAATAATGTAGAAGAGTTAAAGAAAGTCATCGACAACGTTAGGAAAGAATTTATTGTCAATCTTTCACATTGTATTATTGCTGAATTGTTGTCAATTTAAACATTTGTTGAAATTTAATTGTATTTAAATAAACATTTATTGTAAGTTAATTATATTAATAAACCAACAGTTTTGTTTATTCCTGTAGAAATATATTCAAATGATTACATCGTTGCAAAGGCGATAAGGAGACCTTTCAAATGAGCTATCGCGTGACCTAGGTTTGTATTAAGAAAACTCGTCGATTTCGTCATTACGCCAACACTGATGACGTAATGTCCAACACATATAGGTATAGCAGTTGATGACCATACAAAAATTAAAATTGACGTGTTTCAAGATTTTTTTTAAAGTCGTCTGTTTCTGAACTATTGAAATATTGAATTTATTCCATACACTTGCATCATACTGTATCATACTATAATCGAGTTAAAAATCCCATTGTAATAAATATAATCGTAGGTCTGACTAAGAGTATAATGAAGTTTACTTACCCCGCTAGTGAAACTTCTGGCGTATTTAGATGAGCACAAAACAAGCAATAACAATACGGCAAAAAGAACGGAATGACTTCAAGTGTTCTATGCGAGGTATTTAATTCTAAAGCATCAAATATATGATCTAATCTAACCAAATGTCTTTGATCCACTTTGTACTCAGTTATCAGCGATCTAAGTCTACTCTCGGTTAGAAAACCTCCTTTATCAGACAATACATCAAGAATTTTCTTCAGTAGATTTTTATAAAAGGAAGTGGGTGCCAAATTAAAATCTACTAGACTTTCGTCAAGAGTTTTCGTTTCAGAATCCGTAGGTTTTTCGTTCAGCAATATCTGTGCTCGTCTAAAAATAGGAGATCATAATCACATTGTTATGGTTTAATTTCAGAACCAACAAATATTGAAAAATCACTGAAATATCTAACACTGGTTAGACCTGTTGATCGATTACTAGTTAAACAACAAATAAAAAAAATTATTGAATTTTTTTAGATTATGCCTAGGACACTCTCAAGCAACAGAGCTCGTTTTAAATTTTAACGATTACTTTGAATTGGGAAAAAGAAATGGGTATCGTTGGAACCATTGTGATCTGTTTACCCAGTATAAAAAGTACAATTTTCAAATGTGCCCTATTATAAAACTATATTTAATCATAATTAAAATGTTTGGCAATAGTGGAACTAAAACTGTCCCATCTGCTGATAATATTACTAACGCCCGATTCCACCAACGTGACTTAAGTGAAAATTTGATCTTAAGAAATAGTTTTTACTTAAGTCCGTTAATTTTCGTTCCACCAACTAAAAATATTTACTTAAGTATAAATATTTTTGCTTAAGCTCAAGTCAGCTACTAGGACGACTTAAGTAAAAATTTTAACTTGGAGCACATTCATCTGTCATATATTGACATACAAGTGAGGTTAAATTTAAATCTATTCTGTATATATTATGTTAATTTTCGCATTTAGTTGATATTTTTTAATTTTTATATTCCTATTTTTTATAAATTCTACCGTAATCTTTAATAAAACGTAGTATATAATAGTTGATAGTGTATATACAGTGTACATAGATATTTTAGTGTTGATAGGATTTTTTCTAAGTATATATATTTTTTTTAATTCCACGGAAGTGTATAGTTTATCGTGTATATAATAGAAAATAGTGTGTGATATTTGCAAAAATGGATCATTATCATTATCATCTAGCCATCATTATCATCATTATAAATTCTAAAATTTTACTATACTAAACATATTTTCATTTTATATTTCTCTTCTATTTTTTTTATGTATACTTTATTAACTTCTATGCAATTTCAATACTTTCATATTTTTAAACATAGAACAGTTATTGGCTTCAAATGTATTGTAAACAAATATATAAAAACTAATTATACTCCACAAAGATCATAGTATATAAATAGACTTCATACTTTACCTTAGTTATATGGACTTGTAAATTTTATTCCAATAAATAAATAAAAAAGATGACATCAACTACAATGTGTCAGTATATAACAGAAATAATAATGTAATAAATAATGACTTTTTATTGAAATCTTATTAACTGATTAATGTTTACATTTGTTTTATTTCATTCTCTAGAGGTTCATTCTCGAACATAAGTTTTCTTTTTTGTTGAAGCATTATTTCCAATTCTACTTCTTTTTATTTTATTTGTAGGGCTTGGAGTTTTGCTTGAAAGGCTCTCTATTCTCTCTTTATTTCCTTCTCTATTTCTGTCCACTATGAAACTCTACATGAGCACAATCCTCTATTTGATTTTCTTCTCTAAAAACAAAAAAAAATAAATAATTTGAATTGTATTAAATACTGAAGATTACATACCTGTTACTACAAAAAGCTTTTATCCAGTGCAGACTCATCATCATACGGGTTGTTCAACCCAACGACTGTTTTGTTGTTTATGATTTCCAATACAGTCTCATCTGGTTCATTCTGAGACTCGTTCAAATTATTGTCACTATACTATTATTATAAATTACTATTTTTCAAAACTATCCCTAAATTTTAAATTATTATTTACCATTATTAACTAGCAACAGAATAAATTCGCAAAATACACAAGGATTACCATTTACAATAAATATAAATATTATAAAATATTGAAATGACATTAAAGACAGCATCAAAAATGACAAATGATACAAATTTTTCTTCTTTTTTGTTGTTTTTTTGTTAATAACGAGTCAACAGGTTAAGAATTTTTGACAACTTTGCGTAGTTGGTATCTTTGATAACTTAAGTTTTTTCTTGGTTAAGTTAAGTAAGAATTTGTATGGTGGAACGCAAATTTCAACTAAGAATTTTTTTTGACTAAGCAAAACTTACGTAAGATTTTACTTAGATCACGTTGGTGGAACCGGGCGTAAATGTTTAAAAATATTACTCCTGCAGTGTAGTACAGAAAACGAAGCTTAAAATGAAACAACTTTTTTACATAAAAATTTAAGATTATGTTCAATTTTTCCTCTACTTCAAAATCTATATTGTGCTGACAGGCGCTTCTCATTTTTTAAGCATGAAAATAATCCCTTATTGCCAAAATCTATAAAAAAAATAAGCTAAATTATAAATAAGCTATTATAGATAAGCTAAATATCTTTCTCTCTGAGATTTAGCTTATTTTTTTATAGATTTTGGCAATAAGGCAAAGAAAAAAACAAAGAGAAAACCAGAAAAGTAAAACGAAGAAGGGCAAAAGAAAAGAATGAAAAATGGGAAGAAACATATGCACAAATTGAACAATACATAGGAGGAACAAGAAATTCGGAATCCTGGAAAATACTGAAATCTTTAAGGAAAAATAACAACGAAAAGGTCCAAATACAATACATATCAGAAAAAGAGTGGGAAGACTACTATAAAGAACTACTCTCAGAAAACCGCCCAGATTTCATAAAGACAGACACAGAACAGGAACAACAACAAAATCAGAATGAAGAACAGATTGAGATAACATTAATCGAAGTAACGAATGCCATAAAGACTTTAAAGAACAAAAAATCAGGGGGACCAGGAGGAATCGTTAATGAACTAATTAAGTACGGAATGGACAAACTACACAGAATAATACACGAAATGTTCAGTAACGCTATCAACCTGAACGAAATACCAGATGAATGGTCCAAAGCATATATAACCTCGATACATAAAAAGGGAGATAAGAAGAAATGCGGGAACTACAGAGGCATCAGTGTGATAGCATGTATGGGCAGATTATATGGAAAAATACTGAAAGAAAAACTGGAAAAATCTATCTCAAATAAAATCGGAGAAGATCAGGCGGGGTTCACGGCAGGAAGATCTTGCATAGACTACATATATACACTCCAACACCTAATTAAAAAAAATGGCAAAAAATAGACCAGTACACATGGCATTCATAGATTTAAAAAAGGCATATGACACGGTTCCCAGAAAACAACTATGGAACACGATGAAGGAAATCGGAATAACTCAGAGGCTAATAGAAGTCGTAAAAAACCTTTACAACAACAACAAGGCAAGAGTTAAAACCGGCAATAAATACTCCAATGAATTTAAGACCACAAAAGGCTTATTGCAGGGATGCTCTACATCTCCGACACCGTTCAAGATATTCTTCGAACAAATATTAAAACCATGGAAAAGGAAATGTGAAGGGATGGGAATACCAATCAGGGACAACTTCTTGTACACAATAAGCTTTGCAGATGACCAAGTGGTAACGACTCAAGATGAAGAAGATCTGTGCTATATGCTGCGAAAATTAGAAAAGGGATACACAAAAAATGAACTGTAAATAAACCTAGAAAAGACCGAACATTTAACAACAGAGCAAGAACCAGTGAGAAACTTAAAAATGCACGATAATAGGGAAATTAACAGCACTGAAAAATTAAAATATTTAGGATTTATACTCTCAAAAAATGGAACCACCGAGCAAGAAATAACCAGCGGCTTAACATGTATTAAACAAATGAACGAGGTACTGTGGGATAGGCAGATTACCAGAAATACAAAGAAGAGAATTTATAACACCTTGGTACGCAGTATAATGACCTATGGAGCAGAGAATTGGGTAATAAATAAACCAAACAGGTCCAAAATCACAGCAACTGAAATGGAGTTCATGAGAAGAATCTGCAGAGTGACAAAAATAGATCGCATCAGAAATGAGGAGATAAAACGAAGAATGGCAGTAGAACAAGACATACTCAGCTACATCGAAGGAAAACGTTTAATTTGGTATGGACATGTAAGAAGAACAGATTATACAAGGTGGATAGCAAAGATTTCGTATTGGAGCCCAATAGGAAGGAGAAAAAGAGGTAGACCCCGAAGATCATGGAGGGATGAAGTGGACGAGGCCATGGAAAGACGAGACCTTAGAGATGGAGAATGGCAGAACAGAAAGGACTGGAGACGTTGGCTGAAAGAAGAAAGGCGGCGATAGCTGTAAAAATCGTTATATAGATAGATATAAATAAGCTAAATTATAAACAATCAGAATGCCCAATCTCAGATGCAGCCTTTGAAGTTTGTCAGCACGCGAACGCCATGGTTTAGACGGAAACATAGACCCGAATTGAGAAATTTGTGACAAGCTACGACAGAAGTTTAATTTAAATTTCTAGAGAATAATAATTTAGACATTTGAAATAATTTAATTTATTCTTCACTTAAAAGTACGAATAAAATAGTGCATATTTCTCACACATATTATACATCATTCGATTGAGGAGTTCTTTGCAAAAACCCCAATTGTCATTATTTGATGATTACATTACAATATAAATATCTTACAAATAAGGCTATTATCGAGCACAAGTTAATTAAATCTAGCCCAAGTACTTTCGCTTAAAATAGTATCTTCAGGGGCATTTCGTCAAAATGTAAACTATCCGGCAAGCGCAGAATGTGGAAACATTAAAAATAACCAAATACTGACAGAGAATGTAGCGTAGAATCTTTAAGTAATTTTAAACTGTTTGTCCTTATTTTAGTGTAGTGTTTTGTACAATTTTATGTTATTTTTATTGTTTCCACATTCTACGCTTGCCGGATAGTTTACATTTTGACGAAATGCCCCTGAAGATGCTATTTTAAGCGAAAGTACTTGGGCTAGATTTAATTAACTTGTGCTCGATAATAGCCTTATTTTCAAAGTTCATTTATTCGAGCATTCAACCTCATTTCATTTGATATAAATATCATTATTTTTTCCTTTGGTTTTTTTATGAAGGATATTTATTCATTTGACATATGGGGTGTTTGCTGGAAATCTTCATTAATTTATAGGAAATACGATATTTATAGCAATAAATCAAAAT